GAAATTAGGATACTTTGTTAGTGCTGAATTTATCTGTGAATAGAATTAGTAATTAACTTATCTTTTCCCTACAAATTTGGATACTCTGTTTTTTTGTTTTCCATCCCATCATCCCCACCATCATCAACAAAGTCTCGCCCTCTATCAAATCAAATTGGGGTTAAGGAAAAAATTGGTTTCATGTTAACACCCATTTTTATTTCATGTTAGTCAAATGGGTTGAGGATTGTTAACTTTAAATGGGTTAATGTGAACATATTATTTTGAGGGCGTTACAACATTAAGCTGGAACTAAAATAGATGGGCATATTTTTACTCATAGTTTCAAATTAAACAAAATATTTTTGGTATTTATTGAATACTTTTGTATTTACTTAAGCTTTATCTGGGACATTATTCAGTGGTGATTTGCAGAATGATAATGAGTTATGGTGCACAGCAGATGTGAGCAGTGGGTTTTGTTTTGGGGTAATGTTCTTATAATTTTTATGATTATTATTATTATTTTGAGAAGTGCTCTTACTAATTTTGGATTTGGTGCTCCTTCATTTCTAAAAGATGTATTTTGTTTATCGTGATTCTTTTGGATATATTTATTTTTTTTGAGTTAGTTTTTTCAATTGTTTTTGGTATTGATATGCATCTAAGAAGGTTTCAATTGCAGTAAGAGTGCTTCAAAGTAGAAAATCACTTCTAATTTATTTCTTTATTTACATATATGGCAATTTGTATATGAAGCATTGTGTTTGTGATCCTATATATCTGAATCATTGCTTTAAATTTGCTTAATAGGTTCACATTAGAGAGCTTGAGGAAGAAGTGAAACTTCTTTATATTTCTCAATGTCTTAAGTTTTTGGTACGTTTTCGATAAATTACATTTGTATTCAACTACACTTTGATAAATTACATTTGTATTCAACTACATCGTGTCATAGCTCTTATTCTTCCCTTTTCATTCTGTACTTTACATAGCTCTTATTCTTCCCTTTTCATTCTGTTTATGTACTTGCTCTTCTCATCTTTATTGTAACCCTCTCTTTGAAATTAATTTTTATATTTTATTATCCGATTTGCTACTAAAATTGTTAAAAGTTCTTTACGAAGAATAATATTTCTTTATATTTTTTCAGTGTTTTTATCAAAAATCAAAAAATGCTAAAGACTCTACAAATTTCAACATGATGTGTATAAATTACAACTACATTTTGACACTAACATAATTTACACCGTGCCTTTAGGCAGTTCAATTTCTCCATTTGTCATATTCATGGACAAATGAACTTCTTAAAGTAGGTTGTTAGCTACATTATTAAACCTCATTCTGCCTTCTTACAGTTATCTTTGTCTAATTTACATAACCAGACACTTTCAGGTTGAGACACCATTGACCTTCAACCTCTAATTATGGACAATATTACCATTTTTGGTCACGTAAGTTGTTTTCTTTTTAATTTATTTGAACAAAACAAAAAAAAAAAATACACCCTTCTTATAAGTTGAAGTCAATTTTCTCTTCTTTTCATTATTTTTTATCTAATTTCCTGATAACAAAATGCTCTTTTCTGATGGATGGAGACTTATGTCAAACTGTAATATTGACTCTTTTTACTCATTTTCTTACATGCATACATTTAAAAAAAAAATTTACCTCTATTTCTTTTGTATTTATAGTTTCAATTTCTTCAAGAAAGAAATGCTAAGAGTGTGTTGATATTTATATAGATTTTCTTCTACTAATATACTAACTTTTTTATTTTCAAAAATTACTAGATTGTTTTGCATGCTCCTCATTGGGGATACATAGAAGTTGATACAAAGACTTGTTGGAAACTGATGGGGCGCTCCTACGAATTCTAAGAAAGAACAAGTTTGAAAATCATATTTATTTTTTGTGAAAAGAGTACATATGCTAGCTACGATCTAGATTTTGTAAAGTTTCCTATCAATGCGAATTTTAGTTTTGTAAAGCCTTTTATCCATGTGCAATTTATAACTAAGTTTAGATGTATGTTATATAATATTCATTTGAATTATTCACTCGGTCATGTAGTCTTTTTTCTTTTTTCTTCCTAATATGCTCTTGAATTAGCAATCATATTTTCTTTTTTTTGTTGAATTTGAATTTTTGCTTTCTTATATATTTTTAACAAGAAGGGTGTTGCTTTTAATATAGGATTGGATTGTGTACATATTAATCTTTTAAAATAATTGTTCATTGCACAATTTTTATCATTTTTTTTAATTGCAAAGCACGGTTGGTGTGCTTTATTTATTTGTTATTTTTTTCTATTGTGGAGTATTGATTGACGTGCTTAATTTGTTATATGTCCTTTTTTTTGTATTGTAGAATATTAGTTGATGTGCTTAATTTGTTATTTGGCATTTTCTTTGTATTGCGGAGCACAAACTGGTGTGCTTAATTTATTTATTTTTTTCTATTACAAAGCATTGGTTAGCGTATTTTGTCTGATTTTTATTATATGTTTCTGTGTTGTGAGACTTACATTTTATTGTTTGTTTAAAATCTTAAAATTATTTCAATTACATTTTCATTCCAATAATAGTTTCACCGTGCCTTTAGGCACGGGCATACCCTAGTAAATAAATAAATAAATTAAGCACCCCAGTTCGTACTCCGCAATACAAAGAAAATGCCAAATAACAAATTAAGCACATCAACCAATATTCTACAATACAAGAAAAAAGGACATATAACAAATTAAGCACGTCAATCAATACTCCACAATAGAAAAAAATAACAAATAAATAAAGCACACCAGCCATGCTTTTGCAATTAAAAAAATGATAAAAATTGTGCAATGAACAATTATTTTAAAAGATTAATACGTACACAATCCAATCCTATATTAAAAGCAACACCCTTCTTGTTAAAAATATATAAGAAAGTAAAAATTCAAATTCAACAAAAAAAAGAAAATATGATTGCTAATTCAAGAGAATATTAGGAAGAAAAAAGAAAAAAGACTATATGACCGAGTGAATAATTCAAATGAATATTATATAACATACATCTAAACTTATTTATAAATTGCACATGGATAAAAGGCTTTACAAAACTAAAATTCACATTGATAGGAAACTTTACAAAATCTAGATTGTAGCTGGCATATGTACTCTTTTCACAAAAAAGTAAATATGATTTTCAAACTTGTTCTTTCTTAGAATTCGTAGGAGCGCCTCATCAGTTTCCAAAAAGTCTTTGTATCAACTTCTATATATCCCCAATGAGGAGCATGCAAAACAATCTAGTAATTTATGAAAATAAAAAGTTAGTATATTAGTAGAAGAAAATCTATATAAATATCAAAACACTCTTAGCATTTCTTTCTTAAAGAAATTGAAACTATAAATACAAAAGAAATAGAGGTAAAAAAAAAATTTAAATGTATGCATGTAAGAAAATGAGTAAAAAGAGTCAATGTTTCAATTTGACATAAGTCTCCATCCATCTAAAAAGAGCATTTTGTTATCAGGAAATTAGATAAAAAATAATGAAAAGAAAAGAAAATTGACTTCAACTTATAAGAAGGGTGTATTTTTTTTTTTTTTTTTTTTCAAATAAATTAAAAAGAAAACAACTTACGTGACCAAAAATGGTAATATTGTCCATAATTAGAGGTTGAAGGTCAATGGTGTCTCAACCTGAAAGTGTCTGGTTATGTAAATTAGACAAAGATAACTGTAAGAAGGCAGAATGAGGTTTAATAATGTAGTTAACAACCTAAAAGAAAGGCAGAATGAGGTTTAATAATGTAGCTAACAACCTACTTCAGAAGTTCATTTGTCCATGAATATGACAAATGGAGAAATTGAACTGCCTAAAGGCACGGTGTAAATTATGTTAGTGTCAAAATGTAGTTGTAATTTATACACATCATGTTGAAATTTGTAGAGTCTTTAGCATTTTTTGATTTTTGATAAAAACACTGAAAAAAATATAAAGAAATATTATTCTTCGTAAAGAACTTTTAACAATTTTAGTAGCAAATCGGATAATAAAATATAAAAATTAATTTCAAAGAGAGGGTTACAATAAAGATGAGAAGAGCAAGTACATAAACAGAATGAAAAGGGAAGAATAAGAGCTATGTAAAGTACAGAATGAAAAAGGAAGATAAGAGCTATGACACGATGTAGTTGATACAAATGTAATTTATCAAAGTGTAGTTGAATACAAATGTAATTTATCGAAAAACGTACCAAAAAACTTAAAGACATGAGAAATATAAAGAAGTTTCACTTCTTCCTCAAGCTCTCTAATGTGAACCTATTAAGCAAATTTTAAAGCAATGATTCAGATATATAGGATCACAAACACAATGCTTCATATACAAATTACCATATATGTAAATAAAGAAATAAATTAGAATGATTTTTCTACTTTGAAGCACTCTTACTGCATTGAAACCTTCTTAGATGCATATCAATACCAAAAACAATTGAAAAAACTAACTCAAAAAAAATAAATATATCCAAAAGAATCACGATAAACAAAATACATCTTTTAGAAATGAAGGAGCACCAAATCCAAAATTAGTAGAGCACTTCTCAAAATAATAATAATAATCATAAAAATTATAAGAAATTACCCCAAAACAAAACCCACTGCTCACATCTGCTGTGCACCATAACTCATTATCATTCTGCAAATCACCACTGAATAATGTCCCAGATAAAGCTTAAGTAAATACAAAAAGTATTCAATAAATACCAAAAATATTTGTTTAATTTGAAACTATGAGTAAAAATATGCCCATCTATTTTAGTCCAGCTTAATGTTAACAGTCAGGTTAACCTTAATGTTCACATTAACCCATTTAAAGTTAACAATCCTCAACCCATTTGACTAACATGAAATAAAAATGGGTGTTAACATGAAACCAATTTCTTCCTTAACCCCAATTTGATTTGATAGAGGGCGAGACTTTGTTGATGATGGTGGGATGATGGGATGGAAAACAAAAAAACAGAGTATCCAAATTTGTAGGGAAAAGATAAGTTAATTACTATTCTATTCACATGATAAATTCAGCACTAACAAAGTATCCTAATTTCTAAAATTTTGGGCTAAGATCTAAGTACCAAAATTGGAAAAGAAATTTTAATCACAGTAAGGAAAAGGCATGACAATTGGTAATTATGATCAATGAGATTGCAAAAATAAAAAATGAATGAGAATGACTTTATCTCCATCCAATTGGTCATTTTTGACAATTGCTTTTCGTGTACACAAAGCCTAAGTTCAAGTTGGATTTGCA